TATACCTCAGAGCAGAAACACTTTTTTCAGAATTAATTAGAAAATTTGCACACCTTAACTGCTGCTTCTCTATTGCCAACCGGAGCATTAGACAAAACTGTATTTTGCACATTAATTGCTTCCACGATACCCTTATCTTGCAGTCTTTCAGATACAGTGGCAGCCAGCTCAACTCCAGAGTAACCACATCCCACAACAGCCACACGTATTTGAGAGTCCTTACCAAAGTTCTGGCGCTCTAATGCTCTAAGTTTTTCATCAACCATCTGAATTTCAAGAAGACCAAGACAATACCAATTATTGTAATTTACATGCTGCATTACTGTTTGAAGTAATTACTGAATAAATAATGCCCAGTAGTACATATACTAACGCGAGCATCTTCAAGAGTAGAAAATGGCAATGCATACTCTGCAGCACCAGGCACAGATTCAAGCTTTGCCTGAGCACCTAGTGCAAGTACCAACCTGGCTGCCCAAGCACAAAAAAACTAACAATTTAGTACAGTCCAATTCATTCATCCACACCGCTACCTCTGCCAGGAACATATAAACATAGATAAAATATTTTACTCAAAAAGAAAGAGACTTTGGTTGTTAGCAAGAACCAATAAGTGTGTTTATTGGTTGAAAATTCAGGACAGCTATTGCCTGATAACAAAGAGAAAAATTACTAAAAATTCAGAAAAAGCACTTTCCACCATAGGAAATTCAAATGTATCCAAACATAAATAAAATCTGCAGTGGGGAAAAAAAAGAAGAAAAATCCCATTAAGGTCATTTAATGTTTATCTATATGTCCACTAAATAGAATACGAAGAAGCTTGGATAAGATCACTGAGAGTTACAGTGAGCATAGACATAATAAATTAAACTACTGAAAGGTAAGCATGATAAAAAGAGAAAACAAGTGACTGGAATACAAGCTTGTTTCTGACATATGCTTTGTAGTTTCCACTGATATTGTTAATCCATTTGTGCGGATCTTACAACTTTTGGTGCAAATCAGAAAATAATGAAATTAAATTCCATGAACATGATTGGGTAAAAAAAAAAGAGTTTTAGACAGTTCCATTATCAATGTATTAAAGAAGTCTTGCTTAAAAAAAGACTTAAAATGAACAAAAATGCTGTGAGCTGAAGTATTACAAAAAGAAATGACGAGAGAGGAGAGTCACTGTTGCTTCTTCATCTGGCCAAGAGCATCTTATCTTATTTTAAAGGTTTTAAATTACCTTCTGAAACTCAATTATCTGAAAGACAATTAAAGCTTCTTGCTTCTGTATATGCAAGTTCACTAACAAATTATACATTAATCAAGAACCAATAGGTAACCTCACACAAGTAAAACAGTCAAATGATACATGCATAGAAAAAGAGAAGGAAGAATTAAGAAAGAAAACCAGCTATTTGAAATAGTTGTCCAATTAAATAGCTTTTCACTGACTTGATTCAATTTTCAATGAGTTTAAATCTACTACAAAATGCTTCAATCAGATATTCCAAAGAACAATTGGAAATAATTTCACATAAAAATCAATTTATATAGCACATTTTGTTCCCTTCTCTGGCACCCACTTCATGAATATGTACTTCTATTGGCAACTATTTGCAATTGAATTAAGCATCCATCAAGAAGCAATGCAAATCTTAAATACACTTGTACAAAAGTATACCAGTCATATTCAATTAGGAGGCCGCTTTCAAGATGGACAGTTCCACCTGCACCAGAGACAGTGGGCGGATTCATTCCTAGCGCGTCAGATGGACAGAAGCATTTAACCCTGTCTTTGAAAAATTGCACACCAGTATTTGCAAGCAAGTCTGTAAAACGTGGAGCTATTTCCCAAGGATCTACTTCTGTATAAACATAAGATTTTTTACTCTTAAGCATTCTTGTAAAACATAGAAAAGTTAAACCAGAAAAAAAAAAGATAGCCATAAAGATAGACAAAAGATAAAATAAATAATGTACCTCCAGAGAGTAGCTCATATAACATTGGCTTAAAAACAAAATGCTCACATTGGTCAACAAGAACCACCTATAATTTCAAGTAAATGCTTTCCACAGTAAGCAAACATCTGAAACTTGTCAGGATTTTCAAACCCACTCCCCCACAAAAATAAAGAACAAAAAATAAAAGAAACACATACAATAAATGATCACGGCCACAAGAATGTTATCAGGCATTATGCTGTTCCTTCAAGTTTTGTTTCTCTTACAAGTGAAGGCTATGAACAATGGAGAGAATAATTTTTACTCTGTGTGTGTGTGTGTGAGAGAGAGAGAGAGAATCAGCTTGGAGTATTGATTGATAGAAATATACTGAAAGGCATACACAGTGTAGCTTCATGTGGTCATGGTGAGATTGTTGGTTAGCAATAGCATATGTACAAGACAAACATGTGGTTCTTACCCATGGTAGAAGTGACTGAGAGAAACATGGTTGTATAAAACTATCAGTAAGTTTTCCACTGGCTCCTCAAGGATTCAGCCAATAAACATGCGGATTTAATATATAGCTAAAACAGAGTCATGACAGGAAAATGAGAATATCCAGCTTTCAGGTCAGAGCCTACTTGAGAAAACAATAATTCGGCCCCCGTATTATATGCCAAAGGTCAAATAAGCAACAGTTTGCACTGAGAAATGAGGCTTATCAGAACTGTCTACAACTTACCTGGGGTTTCTTTCCATCTGGCCAAACCAGTGATTCTAATCTTAAAGCAGTGTAAAGTCCTCCAAATCCACCTCCTAATATACAGATTCTAGGTCGCTGCAAGCATAATAAACTGTTTTACTACAAATTTAACATGTAATCTACCTACTGCCATAAGAATTATTATCTGCAACCAAAAAGATGTATTTTCAATTTAATCCCATCTATTATACATCAAATGAACTGATTTTTATGAAACAGAGAGGACCCAACACATTCAGCATGCCAATTGTTCAGAAAAAACGAATAGCAAGCAAACATATGCACATCAAATCTCTAATATACCACTTTAACCAAGATAAAAAGACAATCATCTACATCACTAACAAACCTTTCCTTTTTTCCCTTGCAAGGAAAATTGAATATGACTTCATGCCTTATAGCTTACACCAATTACTCAAAGACAAGAACTACAAGCATGACCAACTTCTTGGAAAATTACATTTTGCAGCAAAAGAGTATACTTCTCACAAAAGTTATGCAATAAGGATAAAAACTCCAACATACTGAGTTCTTGGAGCTTCTATAAATATCAGCAACCAAATTAAAAATGCCATATTTTCAGTTTCAATAGGTTCTTCATAGGAAGTATGATTAAGTCACCAAGCAATTTGCAGTTTAATTCTCTATTTATCAAACTTGGCCAAGCTTCTACTACTTAAAACATTTTCTTCAATATTTTCTAATCCAAAATATTACAAAACTTATGTAAACGCCAAATAAGCTTATTAAGCTACCAAGATCTAATATATATTTGCAAATTATATTTGGGCTGTTAAAACATTTGTTCATTTTATTTGGGTCTCCAAATTATTATCTGCATCAAGGTCTTGTCAAAATTATATTTTACAACAAGCATTTATCTACTGTTCCAACTGAAAAAATACATTGCAATTTAAGTCCACTTATTTTCTTCATGGGTTTTATTTGACATAAACCCCTTAACTCCACTTCACATACAACTAGAGGTCAGGTTCACAACAAACTAAGAGACGAAACACTTAAAGTAGAACAAACCAAAGCTCAACGCCTTAACTAAAGTAAATTCAAACATTCATTATTGCTGCAGTAGAACCCCAATAATTTAAGAAAATCTGCACGGAGGGGGCACTTGGAGCCCTAATGCTAAAGATAATAAATGTTCGCTAAATACTATGGAAGGCTTTTATTCAAATTCTCCACAAAACTTACTTTTTACCGGATAGGAAGTTCTAATTATTTTAAAGTTAGAACCAATACCCTATACAATAAATAGTCAAAGATTGTGCCATCTTCTGCAAGCAGTGCTCCAAGGATGCCCATTTTAACAAATTTTCCTAATAATTTACTTTACAAGACAAGTAATTATTAAATAAATAATCCAACAAACAAAACCAAATTATGCATCATGATTCATTGACATGAAAATAAAATCAACTAAAGGTTGATACCGAAACTCATAAAAAAAACAACAAAAATAAAAGGAAATGAGAGAGGGAAACCTTCTTATCAGGCCATGCATAAGTCCGAGGTTCAGCTTCATTTTCAGAATCATAACTCTGAATTCCGCCAGAAGCAGAAGTCCGAAACTGAACCCTCGCGTTTTTACCAGAAAAATTGCTAGGTTTAATCGAAAATCGCGCCGAAATCCGGGGGCTTAACTTTTTCGACTGGATTCTTCCAACCCCCCCTGAAAGGGAAGAAATGAGAGTTAATTCAATAACTCTGGAATTCAACAAGGAAAACGAAAGTAAGACCTTACCGGAGTTGAAGAATCCCAGAGCTGAGAAAGCTGAAGCTGCTGCCGCAACTGTCATCGGCGGGAGCCAGAGTTAGAGTGGTCGGAGTAAAGAGCAGGACGTTAAGTATTTCGTGGTGTTGCTACGTTCCACGTTTGGATGTGTGATATGGGTGGGCAAAGAGGCAGGGACTGCAACGTTTTATCGGTCACAAATTTGGACAGTGGGAACAGGAAGATAGCGAAAATTTGGGGAATGGGAATAGGTTGATTTACGATAGCGAAAATTTATGTTATGAAAATTTTGTGAATGGAGTATGTACTTTTTTATCGTCTAATCTAACCCTTTTCTGAATAAAATATAGATTATCATTCATGAAATAAGATAATTATTGTTTGATGACTTTGTAATGTAGTTTATCAACATAAGTAGATAAAGTGCGAATTCGATTTAGCACAATTCTTGGTCGTCCTCTCACGTATCGCGCACGTGGGTCTTCCTTTTTTATTTACACGTATTCTTTGCGCAAGGCACAAATAAGTCACCAAAATAAAATTGTTTCAACTTGGGTTTGCTCCACCGCTTTTGCTTCCTATTCTCTCTTTCCTTCTTTATTTTCTTTTTAGTTTTGTACCTTTTCTTCTACGGAACAGAAAACTTGATAGTTTCCTTCTCCTCGGCTGCCACTTCTCAAATCCTCCAAACCTAAAACTACCAACAATAACCTCCTACACAGATGTCATTTTTAGGTTCCTCGATAATACCATTGAAGTCAATGGCCGCTCTGAAAATCCCAACCAACACTCAGAATACTCAGCTTCATCATTCTCGAGAACTCCCTCTTTCAATTTCATCTTCGTCCTAGTCAGTCACAAGAAGATTATTGTTTGGAGATCAATAGAATTACTGTAGGGTTTTCTCTCCAGAGATTCGTCACTTCTTCTCCTCTTCTTTCTTTTCCATTCTTTCTCTCATCCCATCCTCTAAAATTTCTCATCTATTTTCGATTTGTCATTTTTTCCAAAACCCTAATTTTTTAACCCAAGGCGTGCCCATGCATTTGCCATCAGTTTAGTCTAGAGACTCCAGACACTTCTGCTGCTTCATCCATTTCATTTTTTCCACTCTAAAGCCATTACATCACTCAGTAACATCTACACATTCCTTCTTCCTTTTTTCCACCCTAAAATTTTTTTCGTAGCCCTAAATCACACCTACAACTTGAAGTGATTTCTACCAAAATCTTCTCTCAAACCCTCAACTTATTCCACGTCTTTTGCTCTCAGAAAAATATGGTCAAAGAAGTAGCCGATGATGGAATCCTTTGGGATGTATCTAACAAAAGCATTTCTAGCTGTGATTTTACCTAACCATCAGTAATTATCTATTTCTTCTTCCTACTTTACTTATGTTTCTTTCTTGTTTTTATTTTTTCATTGATGTCGACTTCTTATTTCTTAGAATCTGGATCTGAAGCTTCCAAGGTTGAAATATTTTTCCTTAGAAATTGTCTAAATTGGTATATTATTATCAAACTTAGTTCAAGCGTAATCCCTAATTAATCTTCTTTGTCTTTGATCTGAGTGGAAAAAAGATATCAAAATATGGTTCCTTCTAGCAAAAAAAGGGCAAAAGATCAATCTTTTTTAGGGCTTTCTATATTTTTATTAATTTAAAATCAGAGGTCTAATTTGGTTAAAATTATATGTACTAATTTTTATATATCTACAATGGATCATTTCAAGTAATGATAACAGTGAAGGTTGCGATTAAGAAATAGGTTAGTTTTTAATTTGCTTATTATGTGGTTTTTTCTTTTTCTTTTTTTTGGGTCTCTGTGGTCTATTACTAACCCTCTCTGTTTCTTTTATTCTTTATTCTGTATTTATTTTTTCCTTACCGAAGGGTCTATCTACAATGGATTATTTCAGGTTATGATAGCACTGAAGGTTACAATTAAGAAATAGGTTAGTTTTTAATTTGCTTCTCATGTTACTTTTTTTTTTTGGCTCGGTGGTCTATTACTAACCCTCTCTATTTCTTTAATCCTTTCTTCTATTTCTATTTTTCGCTTACTGAAGGGTCTCAATCTTTTTCTTTTCTTTTTTAGATTTTTTGCATATATTTGCTTTTAATTGATATCAAAATGTGCTGGCAATTTTTGTATGTGCATCATGAGACATAATGACATAGATACAACAATTTATGAAATAGTTCACAATTCTTTACATTTTGTTTCATTTCATTTTATTTCCTCTGTTGAGAACAAGAAGGTTTGCTTCCTTTGCTCAGTGTACTCGTTCTTTGATTGAATTGGTTATTCCTTTTTTTGTTCTTCTTTTTACTTTCTCTTGGGTGTCTGCCTCCTGCTTGTGTGCTGTTTATATTTCTTCTTATTGTGTTTTACATTCCCATTAGAAACTATTATGTGTTTTTGGGGTGTAGTATGCATGTGCTATTATAGAAAGTAATATGTCTTTTAATTAGGAAATTTGTATAGGAAATTTAGTGAGTGGATTAAAAAAAATTTGAATGAAGTTAGGAAATTAGCATAATAAATACATCACCTTTAATCTTTACTATGTTAAGTTGTTGATATTGAAAATCTGATATATTTTTATTTTTAGCAAAAATTGGAAGGATACAGTGGATGAATGGGAGAGATTGAATCGACTTGATCAAGCATCAGTAGCTATCATTGGTATTATTCTCTTCTACTATTTGGATAGTGATTTGGTTGGAATAGAATTTTATGTTCAAATTTAGCAAGCAATAAACACCGTACAGGGTGCAATTAGTTCCTCATGCATATTATACCACTACTCTTTTAGTTATACACTAATATGACAAAAAATGGATAGTAGGTGAGAGTAGCAAGGATCCTTACTACTTTTACTACTTTTTAGCATGTGTATATACATAAGTAGCAAGGAATTAGTTGTATGTATGAATATTTAGAATAGTAGTAAGAAAATGGTTGTAACGTTAATATCTAGAGCAATAGTTCCTCATGCATCCTCGGTATTTAATACATGAATATTTAGGTGGCATTTGGTAAGAGGGTTTTAGAATTAGGATTTGGAATAAACCCCATATTGATTGTTTGCATTAATACTATCGGAACGGAGATTTTGGAATCATTTCTTAAAATTTAGAATTTCTCAAAATTCAAGTAGGTGATAGGGTGTTAATTGTTAGTAATTTTATGGTTAATTTCCCTCTTTGTTCTTACCAAATATTGTTTTAATTGTTAACATATACTTATATTTGGTAGTGGACCTGAATTATAGGAAGTGGAACAGAAAAATGCTAAAAAGGGATACCTTCTTGGGAGAATGCTCTGCACGTGGGAAGCTTCCAAAATTAGTACAAATCTGGCTCTACATTGTGCTACAACGGAGCCCTTTCCTTTTGCTGACTAGGAGTTTACTAGTATTGGGGAGTTTTACAAACATTAGGAAATGAAAAACAAGGAACATTAGATAGTTGCTTTACTTTTTGTTTTCTTTTCCTAATTGGAGGGGAACTAACCGGGGGGAAGGCTAGTAATTGTTTTAGAGAAAAACAGCTTTCGTTTTTGTTTCCTCTCCCGTTCTTGCTATTAGGCCAATGGAAAAATAGTGTTTATTCGTGATTGTATTAGAGAAAAACAGATGCCTTTGAAATCAATTAAATTGCGTGGAAATTTTCTCATGAGGCGTGGCTAAACGTTTCATCTAGTCAAGGATCAATGCGACGACGCGGTCCCGAATACCTGTGAGATCAAATTGGTTTTCATGTGTTCCTTAATTTGTTGATATTTGCACGTTTTCTACTTGAATTTCTTTGAGATCATTTTGTTAATTGGATATCAAGGGCCCGATATTCAAGGTGACTTGTTAATCTCCTACTAATTTAATCAATTAATCCGTACTTGTTTAATCGATTAATGTCAGTGGCAACTAGTGCTTATACATACTAGAGGAACGTGCGATCTGATCTAAATAACCCTCGTAGCATGTTATTGATTAGGGTTAGATTTTTCTAATTCTTAATGCAACTAGGGGGTTAACTCTTACGGTTGTACCTAGGAGTGTTTTCTGGTTATGGGTAATTAATGATCGTACCTTGGTTATCAATAAACTAAGGAAAACATGGTCGTCGGAGCTTGTTGACGATTATAACTAACCTATTAATAAATTAAGTGAACCTCCCTTGCATCAATGATCGGATGAATGGACTGCGTCTGAGAAGTTGTATCCTTGGCTAGAATTTGTCTATTATTGATTTAATTCCTGTCTACATTCATACTAGTTAATTGTTTGTTTTTTGTTGAATTGCTTAATTGTTTTTAGCTTTATTCCGATAAAACCCCTCATTGTCAATTGAAACTTCAAAGAGACAAATATCCCCATTCCCTGTGGATATGACCCTGCTTATCACTATCTACAGAAATCATATTTTGTTTGAGTAGGCATTTATTATTGTACAGACTTGACACCTGTCAGTAGGTTGGAGGATTTTGGATAAAACCCAAATTTGATTTCTCTCAAAACTTTAAAAGACAAACTCTAGCCTTTTTAAACAATATTGAGATTTCTTTCCACCCTACCCACGCCTCCCCCCTTCCCTAAAGTCATAAGATTTTTCTCCACTCTTCGATTTTTAGACTCAACAATGGCCACTCCAAGAGCAGTCGCTTCGCCCCATGCATCCCCTTATCAAAGCCGATACTTTCATCGACAACAAGCGGAAAGATGGCATCCGAATCATTAACATCTCCAACACACAATCTATCAGCGACACTATTTGCACAAACTTAGGTAGGTGGAGTTTGGATGAGGATCTTCTAGCCTAGACAATTAGAATGTTTCTCCAAATTGTCGAATTCTATGCCTTTCAAATTAGTTAATGAAACAAGGTGCAAGTTCTCAAAACTTCGTTTCTAGGTCAAATATTTAAGATATTTGAAACTTCCACTTGTAAGCAAATGTCACACAGAGATAGAAGGAAGGTGCTTCAGATTTTTCTTGAAATATATTTTAATTAACATTGTAGAGTAGAAATTAGTCAAATTATGTGAAGATTACCTAGTATAGCATATCATCCTATAATTTGTGTATACAAGCATTTGCACTTTTGACAAAATTTGGACTTCGATCAAAATGGTTTATTTACATGGTGTTGTTTTGTTTCTATGCATGTATAAGGGCAATCTTTGTAGTTAGGGGTGTAATTTCATTTCTACCAGATGATCACATCTAAGGGTATAACTTAATTAACCTTTTTATCTTATTCACATGTGTTTGGAAGCAAAAGTATTATAATTTGAGACGTTAGATGGGATTTCTTAAACCTTATGACTCTCAGATGGGAATTCTTTTAGAATCATGAAACTGATGGGTTTCCCTAATAAATCTATAGTCTGGATTGCTAACTGTGTTTGCACTGCCTTATTCTCTTTGAATTTAAGTGGCTTGGTTATTTTAGAAATAGAAGGGGGTTAAGGTAGGGAGATCCTATTTCTCCCTACCTATTTCTATTTGCTATGGAAAATTTTTAACTCTTAACTTGAAATATTTCAAGAAGGCTTTGATTACTGTCCAAAATACCAGTAGCTTAGTTTCTGAGAGGATGTTCAGATTATGCCCACATATAGAGTATGGTTCAACCTTGGCATGTGAAGGTTAAGTGGATGATTGATCGTTGGGTTTCAATTTCATTCCTTGACAAAGCAAAAAGAGTTATGCTTTATGCTTCAGCGTATCAAATCTGGAAAGCAAGGAATCAATCTATCTTTCAGCATATTCTAGCTATTCTTATGTGTATTGTTTCAGAGATTGTGGAGTTTATGCATGTTGCTATTGCTGGTTGGGGAAAGATTCAAGATTAACGCAAATTGGGAGTTGCTTCTGGAAATTGGTTCACCTATCGCATGTTTGATTGATTGATACTTGTATAGAATGGTGTATTTTTATGTAAATAGTCTCTTTTGACTTGTGTATAGACTTCATTTTTATTCAATAAAAAAATTAAATTTTGCTAGTATGCTTTTATTTTTATGTTAATGATAACTCTTTATTGTTGAACCTTTCCATGAATGAGACTAGTGCATTCTTATCAAAGCAGGTTTAAAACTAATATATCAATTTTTAACTATATAATCATTAAGGGTAAAGTTGGAAATATGTTGCATTCCATTTCCAAAGAATCAGCAAATCGAATGTCAGATATAGTTGTTGAGAGAATATAAGTACTTTTGTACATAATAAATTAGTAAGAGTATTCTTGTAAATAGTTTGTTGGATTTGTATTACTATAAATACTAGTTGGTCACTCATAATACATATGTTAGACGTTTTTCTCCGAAAATACATGGTATCAGAGCAAAAGTCCTATGGTTAGGGTTAAACATCTGACAAAAGTCCTATTCACACGATACTGTTCATGCATTACTGTTCCAGGGTACTGTTCATCACAAAATTTGATTATTTTTTGGTCTAAAATGCTATTTGTTATGGCTAAAAGTTCATCAAAAGGTGTCGTGGCGTCCACTAATGTTATGACAATGGTGACGTATCAAATCACAAGTTGAAAGTTGAACGACACTAAATATCAACAATGGTAAAAAATTGTTAAGATTTATCTGACAAGTTTAAGAAAGTAACAACATCTCATAGACGACTCTTCTCCGGAGGATAACAAAATACTAGTGTGGATTCAAGAGGATGCCCAAATTCTTGGAGCACTATAGAATTTTATGAAGCCACGAATTATTTACATGTATTCTCATTATGAGACAATAAAAGAAATTTGGGATTATGTCCGGTTATTTTACTATAGTAATCTTTCACGAATGTATGATCTTTCTTTGAAATATTTTCAGTTACAATAAGATAACAAGACAATAATTGAATATTTTACTAATCTCAAGTGAATTTCAGAAGAATTAAATGTTGTAATGCCTCTCTCAAGTGATATTACAGTTATACAGAGGCAAAGAGAATAAATGTTTGTACTCAAAATTTTGGCTGACCTTAAGCTAGAATTTGAATTAATCAAATCTTAAAATTTAGTAGGTGAACAATTATCATCCTTTGTAGATGTGTATACTCATGTCTTACGTTATACATCTAAGGATAATGTACAGGGTGAAGGTGCTCTAATTAATGACAAGTATATTTTAGTTGCTAACAATAATCGGATATAACAATTTAGTTCTGGACGTGAGCAACTTAGTTTTAGACGTGACACTCTTGGAGAGAAGGTCGTAGGGGTCCTAGAGGTCGAGGCACTCGTAAGTGCACTAATTGTGGTTTGAAAAATTACACTTGTGATACTTCTTGAGATTTAGTTGAAAAACTTTCTCGATTTGCTAATGAGATTACCACTGACCAAGTTGAATCAGGCTCTTTAACACAAGGGCTTTAGAAGACTTTTACCATATCCGAAAAAGATTATGTTAAATTTCTACAGTACCAAACTGCAAATCACGCATCTCTTCCTTATGTTTCTTTAGTACAAAAAGGTAATGCTATGACTTATCTCTCTACATCCTCTAATTTTGACTCATGGATTATTGACTCCGGGGTTACTAATCATATATTAGGTACCTCTAGAAATTTTTTTTAATATTCAAGAGTTTACTTCCTTTTCTCATGTTACTTTAACTAATGAATCTACAACTAAAGTTAAAGAACTGGATACTGTAGAAATTAACCTATCTTTTCCGTTATCTTCTATTCTTTACATACCCAATTTGCTTTTTAATCTAATATCTGTTAGTAAGTTTACTAAATTTCTACAATGTTTAGTTATTTTTTCCCTGATTTTGTTGTTATTCAGAATTTGAAAAGAAAGAAGATGATTGGCGAAGGATATGAGTATAATGGTTTTTATTTTCTTAACTCTAATGGGTCAATTGCATGTACTACTATTGTATCTCCTCTTGAAATTCACTGTTATTTGGGTTATCCATCTCTACAAAATTTGAAGAAATTGATTCTTATTTTGAGTCAGTTGTTTTTATTAGAATGTTTCTTTTGTCCCTAAAGTCAATAAACGAATTTCTGAACCATTTTTATTAGTTCATTATGATATTTGGGATTCTAGTCATATCACTTCAAAGTTAGATTTTAAATTTTTTATAATCTTTGTTCATGACTTTTCTAGAGTTACATGATTTTATTTAATGAAAGATCGTTTAGAACTATATTCTATTTTTCATGCATTTGTTTCATAAATAAAGAATCACTTTTGTTGCACATGTGTCTAAACAGTTTTGGAGTAATACAATTTTAACTGCATGTTATGTAATTAATCGCATACCATCTAATATTTTTGGAGGTCAATTACCTTACCCCATTCTTTTTCCTCGTGAACATGTGTTTAAATTATATTTGCATATTTTTGGATGTGTGTTTTGTTCATCAACTTACTCTCAGGGTGGATAAATTAGATTCTCTTGCTATTAAGTTTATTTTCTTAGCACAAGTACAAAAAAGATATAAATGTTATAGTTAAGATTTAAATCGATTTTTTACTTATATTAATGCTATTTTCTTTGAATCCACTCCTTATTTTATGAAACAAGATATGTCTAGTGAGTTAAAACAGTATTCCTCTTTTTTTTTCTCCTGTTTTATCAGTCCCTTCATCTTTATTATTTGAGCTGTACAGTCCACCAATTTCTACAACTTGATTATTTAATCCTAATTTTTAAATTTATTCTCGTCGTTTCGTAGTTGAGAAAGCTCCTATTGTACCACACGCTTCACCGATAAACTCTCAATCTTTAAATCCAAGTATGATGTTCTCCTGTGAGTTAGATCTTCCTAATGTTTTATGCAAAGATAAGAGACTCTGTACTTCTTATCCTATTTTTAATTTTATTTCTTATTCTCGTATCTCTCCGTCATGTTCTTCTTTTGTTGTTTCACTTGATTCTGTATCTATTCCTAAGTCTATTACCCATGCTCTCAATTATCCTAATTGAAAATTAGTTATGCAAGAAGAGATGTTTGTTTTAGAGAAAAATGGTATTTGGGATCTTATCTCTCTTCCTTCTAGTAAGCCTGTTGTTGGTTGAAAATGGATGTAAACTATAAAATGTAGCCTAATGATTTTGTTGATAGATTGAAGACTCGTCTGGTAGTTAAAGGATATACATATGGAATATACTACTTAGAGACTTTTTTGCTATTGTAAAGATTACCTCTGTTAGTTTTCTTATCTCTTTAGCAACAATTTATAATTGGCTATTACATCAGTTGGATGTGAAAAATACGCTTTTACATGGAGATTTGGAAGAAAAGATATATATATAGAACAACCTCCTAAGTTTGTTGTTCAGGGAGAGAATTCACAGTTAGTTTGTCGTCTGAAAAAATTCTTATATGAATTGAAACAGTTTCCTAGGACTTGGTTTGGCCGGTTTAGTAGTATTGTCATGGATTTTGGTTTGACAAGATATGAAATAAATCATTATGTGTTTTATCGACATTCTACTACTGGTAAAATTTTATTAGTTGTTTATGTGAATGATATTATGATTACAAGTGATGATATTGTGAGGATTCAAAAGTTTAAATCCAATCTATAGACAAACTTTCAAACAAAGGATTTAGGTCACATACAATATTTTTTGGGTATTGAGATAAATCGATCTAAATATGAAATTTATTTATGTCAAAAAATATATACTCAATATGCTGAATAAAGTTGGAATGTTAGGTTGCCGACCTGTGAATACTCCTATGGATCCTAATGTGAAATTAGTAGGAGATTAAGGTGCATTACTAGTTGATCTTGGGCAATATCGAAAATTTGTTGGTAAATTAAATTATGTCACTGTAACGAGACTTGACATTTCGTTTACGGTGAGTCAATTTCTTGAGACCTCTCGTATCAATCATTGAGATGCTATTATACAAATTTTCAGGTATCTTAAGAGTGCTCTTGAAAAAGGGTTGCTGTATCAAAATCACGAACACACTGATATTAAATAATACAGTGATACAGATTGGGTTGATTCTGTTTCAAATCAAAGATCGACCACAAGATATTTTATGTTTTTTAGTGGTAATTTAGTGTCGTGGAAGAGTAAGAAACAAACAATTATCTCTAGGTCAAGCGTAAAATCTGAATACCGCGTTATGACTCATACTGTATGTGAGTTGATTTGATTGAAAACATGCTATTTGAAATTGGATTTGAATATAAACAACTTATGAATTTAGTGTGTGATAAACAACCTAACAAGGTGGTTGTTCATATTATGTCTAACCCAGTGTTTCATGAAAGGATAAAATATATTGAAGTTGATTGTTATTTAATTCGAGAGGAATTGCTTGATGGAGTCATCATGACATCTCATATACCGTCTGTAGATCAATTAGCCGATTTGTTTACTAAGAGTTTAGGGGACTCTAAGGTGAAATATATTTGTAACAAATTGGGCGTTTATGACATATATGCTCCAACTTGAAGGAGAGTGTTAACAGAATATAAGTATTCTTGTAGATAATAAATTAGTAAGGGTATTCTTGTAAATAGTTTGTTAGGTTTTTACTATTATAAATATTAGTTGGTCACTCATAATACAAAGGCTATATGTTTTTTTTTCCCAAAATACATGTTATCAATAGTAATGATACACATTCTAAGTACCAAACCAAACAGATGTATTAGAATAATTGATTTCATTCTAAATTCAGAATGAATGATCCCGAATCCAAATCTCACTCCAAAGTGCAAACCAAACGCCACCTTAGAAAGTTAGGAAATGGTTGTATTTGTTTATAATGTCATGTTGGCATAATTCTGATCTAGACCAAGAGTTGCTTTTTTACCTTTTTTTTCTTCTTTTGTATTTCAATGGAGAATGATTTTGCGCATTAGTAGTTTTATTTTTTGAAATATGTATCAAAGCACATGGTTGTCCATTGCATTATGGGAGCTTTTTATGTGATTAAATGCATACATTAGGAATTTCTTTTTGGAAGATCTAAGGGTTCGTTTGGATTCCTTGTTTTTGCACCTGTTTTT